GATAAGTGTGACGTGCGTGGACGGGGAGGAGGAGATGGAGGTGGGGGAGAAGGAGGATCCTGGAGAAGGTTTGGAGAAGGAAAGGGAAAGTGTGGGGATTTGTGGTGAAAGGGAAACTGTGGAAGAAGGAATGTTGAAAGAAGAGGAATTGGAAAAGGAAAGGGAAAGTGTGGACATTTGTAGTGGAGGAGAAATTGTGAAAGAAGGAACGTTGAAAGAAGAGGAATTGGAAAAGGAAAAGGAAAAGATGGAGATTTGTGATAGAGAAGAAATTATGGAGGAAGGAACGTTGATAGAAGAGGAATTGGAGAAGGAAAAGGAAAGTGTGGAGACTTGTGGTGGAAGAGAAACTGTGGAGGAAGGAACGTTGATAGAAGAGGAATTGGAGAAGGAAAAGGAAAAGGTGGAAACTTGTGGTGGAGGAGAAACTGTGGAGGAAGAAAAGTTGAAAGAAGAGGAATTGGAGAAGGAAAAGGAAAAGATGGAGACTTGTGGTGAAGGAGAAACTGTGGAGGAAGGAAAGTTGAAAGAAGAGGAATTGGAGAAGGAAAAAGAAAAGGTGGAAACTTGTGGTGAAGGAGAAACTGTGGAGGAAGAAAAATTGAAAAAAGAGGAATTGGAGAAAGAAAAGGAAAATGTGGAGATTTGTGATGGAGGAGAAACTATGGAGGGAGAAACGTTCAAAGAAGAGGAATTGGAGAAAGAAAGGGAAAGTGTGAAGATTTGTGATAGAGAAGAAATTATAGAAGAAGGAACATTGAAAGAGGAATTGAAGAAGGAAAAGGAAAATGTAGAGATTAGTGATGAAAGAGAATCTATAGAAAAAGAAATAATAATATTGAAGGAAAAGAAGATTAGTAATGGAGAAGAAGCTATAGAAAGAGGAATATTGAAGGAAAAGGAAATTAGTAATGGAGGAGAATCTATAGAAGAAGAAATATTGAAGGAGAAGAAGATTAGTAATGGAGGAGAATCTATAGAAGAAGGGATATTAAAGGAAAAGGAGAATATGGAGATTAGTAATGGAGGAGAATCTATAGAAGGAGAAATATTAAAGGAAAAGAAGATAAGTAATGGAAGAGTATCTATAGAAAGAGAAATAATAAAAGAAAAGGAGAATATGGAAATTAGTAATGGAAAAGAATCTATAAAAGAAAAAATATTGAAGGAAAAGGAGATTAGTAATGGAGGAGAATCTATAGAAGGAGGAATGTTGAAGGAAATTATAGAAATTAGTAATGGAGAAGAATCTATAGTAGAAGGAATGTTGGAGGAAGAGGAATTAGAAAGGAAAAGCACAAAGATAAGTGATGGAAAGGAATATGTAGAGAGAAAGAAAAGAAAGGAAGAGCGTGAAGAAAAGTCTGAAAAAGTAATTGAAAGTGAGATATTGAAAACAAATAATGAAAACACGAATCTAAGTGCATCCGAGTTAAAAATTGAAGAGGAAATTTCTGTCGATGAAAAAGAAAAATTAGACGAAACGGATGACACGTTAATCGATATGAAATCGAGATCAAATGAGGAAGAATCTGTCGATGTATCGATACACTATCGTATTTCCGACACTTCAAACGTCAGTGAACGCACTATGACGGAAAACGTAGAAGAAGAATCTAAATTGACCGAAAATCGAAACGTTTCGATGGTGAAATCGAAAGAAATCGAGGTATTGAAAATAGACGGTGATAGAAAAATGGAGAAATCTGTGGAGGGAAGAAAATTGGATTTGGAAAGTAAAGCAGAAGATTTCGAGGCATTAACCGTGAAGTCAAAATTAACTGACAAAGATGACGTAGATTCCAAAAGCGAAACGTTGACTAAGCAATTTCTAAAAAAAGAAGAAGAAGAAGAAGAAGAACCTTCGAAAAATAATATCGCGCAAATTTCCAAGACCGACGAGGAATCGGATCGATTAAACGAAACTAACGAAAAATTGGAGCAAAATAAGCGATCGACGACGAGTTATCACGAATCATCGATCTCGAAATCAATTTTGAGAAAAATCACGAGTGAAGAAGTGTCTTCGTTGACCAAAGATTCGTACGAAATTTCACGCGACACGACAGGAACGAAGAGGAAACGTCCTCCAACACCGCCGAAAAGATCGTCCAGCCTTTTGCAAGAAAGATCGTCCCACTCTCCGCTCCGTGGAAAAAGGGAGAGCAAAGAGAGCATTGGGGAGATGGAGGACACAGCTACCTCCTCGGGATTGCATCGAGATTCCACGGAAAGTTGGACGACGAGGGAAAATATTGGCACCACGAGAACATTATTGACGATAATATCCCAGAGTGACGCTGGCGTCGAAAATATTCGCGACACCTTAAGCAACGTGGACACCGTCTCCCTACCCGAGAGGGACAACATCTTGGACGATTTGAAGGAGTTTGGGGGGAGGAGTGTTTGTCTCGAGAACGACGACAACACGGACGAGTTGCGCAAGTACGTGGAGAATGGCGCCAGGCTTGGCAATGGCGCAAGTTCTGAAATAAAACGTGACTACTTGCATCGAGAGACACGCGAAAAATCGCCGGTGTCCGTGTCGTGTACGAAACAGAGCGTGGACGGGCTACCCGTGAAAGGAGTAGCGAAAATTGTCATGGAGCAATGTCGGGAGGAAAAATCGTTGGGCTCCGGTACGAGTTCGAAACTTCGAGAGAGGGAATCCGTGGAAAGAATAGAGAAAATTGACGTGGAATCTCGAGAGACGCGGGAAGAATCAACGGCGTCCATTTCGAAACGAAGCGCGGACGCACCTGTGGAACGAATAGTGAAAATTGACGTGGAATCGTCTACGATCGACGAATCCGACGAAGCGAGAATTTCCGAGAAATTTGAAGAAAAAGAAAGGAAAAAGGTTTCTGACGGAAAACCTGTGGAAAGAATAGTGAAAATTAACGTAGAATCGTCCAGCGAAAAACCGGACAAAACGAAGATTTCCAAAAAATGTGAAGAGGAAGAAGAGGTTTCGTACGAATTACACGAAAAGTCACTAGAATCCATGTCGATAAAACAGAGTGTGGAGAAACCTGTGGAAAGGATAGTGAAAATTGTCATGGAGCCATCTTCTACCGACAAATCTGATAAAGTGAAAATTTCTGAGAAAGAGAAAGAAAAGAAAAAGATTTCTGATGAAAAACCTGTCGAAAGAATAGTGAAAATTAACGTTGAATCCACCGATGAATCTGACAAAACGAAGAAATGTGAAGAGGAAGAAAGGAAAAAAGTTTCGTACGAATTACACGAAAAATCACTAGAATCTATATCGATAAAACAGAGTGTAGACAAACCTGTGGAAAGAATAGTGAAAATTAACGTAGAATCGTCCACTGAGAAACCGGATAAAGTGAAAATTTCTGAGAAAGAGGAAGAAAGGAAAAAGCTTTCTGACGGGAAACCTGTCGAAAGAATAGTGAAAATTAACGTTGAATCGTCCGATGAATCTGATAAAACGAAGGTTTCCAAGAAATGTGAAGAGGAAGAAAGGAAAAAGATTTCGTACGAATTACACGAAAAGTCCTTAGAGTCCGTATCGATAAAACAGAGCGTGGACAAACCTATAGAAAGAATGGTGAAAATTTCTGAGAAACAGGAAGAAAGGAAAAAGATTTCTGACGAAAAACCTGTCGAAAGAATAGTGAAAATTAACGTTGAATCGTCCACCGAAAAACCGGACAAAACGAGGATTTCCAAGAAATGTGAAGAGGAAGAAAAAGTTTCCTACGAATTACACAAAAAGTCGCTAGAGTCCACGTCGATAAAACAGAGCGTGGACAAACCTATAGAAAGAATGGTGAAAATTTCTGAGAAACAGGAAGAAAGGAAAAAGGTATCTGACGTGAGACCTGTCGAAAGAATAGTGAAGATCAACGTGGAATCGACGGGAAAACCGGACAAAGCGAAGATTTCCGAGAAAGAGAAGGAAAGAACGAAAAAGATTTGTGACGAGAATGGGAGGGGAGACGAGGTTGGACCGAGACAAGAGGTGCACTCTCGTCATCATCGCGTTCACAAGAAGATCGTGAAGAATGAGACGTCGAGTACGACGACCGTCGAAACGACGACTGGCGACAAAGAGCGCGGTAACAAGATGGAAAGTTCGAGGGAACTCACTACGAGCGAGGAAGAATTCGAGGAGATTTACAAGTATTCCACTCGTACGTCCGACGATGAACTACAATCTCCCGCGTTCAAAACTCGCCATGACGAGAGAAAGGAAAAGGATAGGCGCGACACTCCTTCCGAAATATTAAATTCCACTCTGAGCAACGACGAGGCGCGAACTCATCGCGCGCGCAAGCAAGATGGAAGGGGAAAGGATTCTCCCTCCCAGAAAATATCGGATTCGTCCACCATCACCGATCCTACCACCGCGTTCCACGGCCCTATGGAAGCGTGGCAAGTGGACATATTCTCCATAATAACCGAGGAGGCGAGGAAAAGCAAATTGAGACGAGAGATGGAATCGTCGCGCGGAGTACCCCCCACTCCCGCCTCCCAAGACCTCTACTACGTACCGATCGAGAATGGCTCTACTTACCGGAAGAGTAAAAGTAACAATTTCGACGAGAGTCCCGTTGAATCGTTGAAAGATATTTGCATCAAGAAAATCTTGTCCATGCCGTACGGTCTCCACGTGATCAACGAGATCACCGTGCCGAGATTTAACGTTTTCGAGAATCTAGGATCCGAGGTATCGAAATTTCCAACTAACGGGATTCGCACCGCGCAAAAAGCTCCATCTTTGAACCGTGTCGACGAGAATACGAAGAATACTTGGCTCGGTTTATCGACCTCGACGGATCCCAACCTGCTCGTCTGTCTTTCCCCGTCCCAACGGAGAACCGAGATAAAGGCAACGGCGGACAATTTGCTCGATTTGCACGAAAAGTTCATCAACAGGCGCAATTACTTCGACGAGGAGCCTCCTCCGCGAGTCCCCCCCGCCAGATATCGGGTGGAGGTGGTGGGCCCGAAGGAGGAGAAGAATAGTAAACACGGGTCAGAAGAGTGGAAAGGAGACGAGAGGGGGAACAGATTATTGGAAATTATCAAGGAGAATTCGGATAAGAGGAGCGGCACCAAATCGGTCACGTTCGAGGAATCGAGCCAATCGGGATCCTGTAACGCGGACGGGGTCCCGACCTTTGACAGTGGTCGGCAGCAGCGTGCGAAAGTCACTAGGTTGTGCGACTGGCTGAACTTGGCCAGGCTCGATCGTCAGTCGTCGAGATCGCCTCGCCACGCGACACCGCTCCCCGATGATTTATTAATAGAATCGTCGGGCGAGGGGGGGCAGGAGCGCGATAACGAGCCACTCGTTGCATCGAGCGCGATCGCTAAACGGTTAGACATGCCTCGATCTGTCCACTACTCTTTTTCCTCGACGCCGTTCGGCAAGAGTCCTTTAACGTTGAACAGCGCCGTCATCGACAAATCGGTTCACTTCGTCGACTCCTCCTCCATGGAGAACCCTCCTCAGAGGCCGGATCCGCCTTTAAGAAGCTCGACGCCGTTCAGAAAGAGTCCTTTCACGTTCAACAGCGCCATTATCGACTCCTCTTCGATGGACAATCCTCCCAAGAGGCCGGATCCTCCGTTCACAAAGAGTCCTTTGACGTTCAACAGCGCCATTATCGACTCTTCCTCCACGGAGAATCCTCCTTTCAGAAGCTCGACGCCGTTCAGAAAGAGTCCTCTGACGTTGAACAGCGCCATTATCGACTCCTCTTCGATGGAGCATCCTCCCAAGAGGCCGGATCCTCCGTTCACAAAGAGTCCTTTGACGTTGAACAGCGCTATAATCGACTCTTCCTGCATGGAGAATCCTCCTTTCAGAAGCTCGACGCCGTTCAGAAAGAGTCCTTTAACGTTGAACAGCGCCATCATCGACAAATCGGTTCACTTCGTCGACTCCTCCTCCATGGAGAACCCTCCTCAGAGGCCGGATCCGCCTTTAAGGAGCTCGACGCCGTTCAGGAAGAGTCCTCTGACGTTGGACAGCGGCACCATCGACTCCTCCTCCATGGAGAATCCTTGTTTAAGAAGTTGGACGCCGTTGGGAAAGAGAAGTCCTGTGAAGAGCGGGAAGATGGAGAAATCGAGGCGCGAGCCGCGTTACAACGTGAACCCGGCGTTGATCGACGACAGGGTGGAGGTGCCGCCGAGAGCGAAGCGCGTTGTGAGCGTGGACAGGTCTTGCATCGACACGACCAGCATTTTCGACCAGAACCCGCCCAGAAGTCACCTGGAGCCGCGCAGATACGGGAACGAGGAGGGCGTGAAACACGTGGCCGCAGCCGAGATCATGGAGGAGCTGAAGAAACTTCAGAACGAGACCGAGGAACAATTGGAGGGAGCGCGTGGCTCGTTGCCTCCTCGACGATACGTCGCGCGCCAATTGAGGTACATAGAATTGTTGGAGAATCAGTTGAAGAACGTGATATTGGCGGAGGAGGAGGAGAGGGAGGCGTTGGAGGAATATCGCGCCCAAACGAGGAAAAAGAGGGGAAATGGAAGAAGGAGCAGAAAGGAGGAGGAGGAGGAGGAGGAGGAGGAAAGTTCTTTTTGGAAACGAGGGGACGAGGCCAATGACGATTCCAGGAAGGTGGAGAGCGAGAAATGGGAGGAGGGATCGAAGGAGAGATCGAAGGAACGCGGGCGTGGAGATTTGGATCGGGGAGAGAACGGTTTCCACGAGGGAGAGACTCGGGAGAGAATGGTGGAGCGCGTGGAGCGGACGCGTGATTCGGTGATTGCTAAGGAGGGGGAGGGGGAGTTGAAGCGTTGGGGAGGAGGAATCGGAGGGAAGGAGGAGGTGGATGGCGGGAGGAGGATCGGCAAGGTTGGGAAAATGGTGAGAATCGAGGAGAGACCGAGGTCCTCGTCCTCGGTGGTGGTGAACGGCGAGGCGTTTCGTAGGCGGATGTACGACGAGTATGTGCACAAGGTCATGGAACGAGAGGAGCGGAAGCACCACAAGGTGGTGAAGATCAGCACGCACGAGGATCTTAAGAAATTCGATCGTAAGAGCGATAAGAGCGGTATGACCACCGTGGAAAGGGAGTTCATCGAGAAGGCGAGGAACAGGTTGAACAAATTTGGGATTAATTTGGACGAGAGCGAGACGGAGAGTGAGAAGGATAAGAAAGGTGGCGGCAGAGGGGGAAGGGAGAGAGAAGGGGGGGAGAAAAGAGTGGAGAAGAAGAAAGAGGAGGAGGAGGAGGAGGAGGAGGAGGGTATCGTAAAGGCGAAGTGTTTGATCGATGGAAAGGAGTTCGAGGACTCGAAAAAATTGCCCAAGCATCTGCAAGAATTCCTCGATATGCCCGCCAATTTCGACGATGGTGAGTCCAGGTGAAAAATGGAGGATTGTGCTGTGTTTATACCTCGCCGTTGTTTTTTTTTTTTTTTTTCTGGGGATTGAAAATTTTCGAGTTGTTGCGCCCGGATTTTTGGTTTTTTTTTTTGTTTTTCCTGTTTTTTTTTTTGGGGTTTAAAATTTTTCGAGTTTTCTCCCCGGGTTTTTTGGTTTTTTTTTTTGTTTTTCCTGTTTTTTTTTTTGGGGTTTAAAATTTTTCGAGTTTTCTCCCCGGGTTTTTTGGTTTTTTTTTTTTTTTTTTTGCTGAGGATTGAAATATTTCGAGATTGATCGCCTGGATTTTTGGATTTTTTTTTAGTTTTTCCTGTTTTTTTTTTGAGGTATACACGAGAGAGAGGCGTGTCGAATATTGGATGTAACAATTACTAATGGCACGTTTCGTAAAATTGGATTGCATTGTTGTGGGTAGGTATCCGAATGCTTGTCGTATTGCTCGTTACTAACTCGACGAATTGGATTTTTTTTTTTTTTTAATTGACGAACATTTTATATCTAGTTTATTCCTCCCTTTTGAAAAATTTATATTAATTTATATTGAAGATATTCGTCGGGGAAATATAATTTTGATTTTCACTTTTATAAACAAAAAATTTAAATATTCGACGAAACAATTACTTAACTCGTTATTCGTATTACCTGTTTTTCCACATACGGATATAATTTAATAACGAGAGGGAGATTTAATTGGAAAAAAAAAGTTATTTCAAAAGGGGTTTAAACTCCTTATTACTCGTCACAATGAAACGTGAAATAGGATGGCAGAAAGGGTATTATACGATGAATCGATAGACGGGAAGAGCGGATCGTTTTCCCGCTAATAAAGTGGGAAATGCCGAGAGATAAGTTTGTTAGGTTTCACGTGGGTCGTAGGTTATCGTTACAACTAGAACGCCGAGACCAAACTCTATAAGAATTTCCGCCGTCGTAAATTTTTATACGTTCTATATAAATTGTAAAATTTTACGTACTATTTTTATTCTCGTGACACAACGAGTTAGAGAAATATCTGGACCGATTGGAAAGCATACCGATATAGGAATAATATATGTATATATAGAAAATTTCGAATAGTAAAAATTTTATCGGATTTTTATTTTAAAAATTCTTTTATTAAATATCGAAGACGCGCTTTTATGAAAAGCATTGATAATAATTATTCGGGATTTAAAAAAAAATACACTAGGTTCAAGAAATTAGCGATAATTATTTATTATTAAAATTAAAAAAAAAAGTAACATTTACTTGGGAGTAAATGTAAAAATATATGCAAGCAATAATCATTAAGAATCGAAACATTAAATAACATAAACTAACACTTAACGATTGAAAGCATAAAATATATACTAGCAATTGATCAAAAATAATAATAAGTACTCACAATTAAGATAAACGACGAAACTATATATATAATTTTATTAGAGACAAAAAAGTTAAATGGCCTTACCAACAACTCCCCCCTTCCTTCTTTCTCCTTCCTTTCCTTCCTCCCCACCACCGAAGGATCCAATTTACGTCCAAAACTCAACGATTTATTTCTCCTCCGAATGTCCGAGCCTGGTCGGTTGCAACGCGATTATGATTCATTCGAGAATGAGAATCTAAATATAGGCCTCGGGAAAAATAGGGCACCAGCTTCTCTCTCGTAGTAAAACGTCCAGCTTCGCGGCTTAGGACCGGTCCTCCCTCGATTTTCGCTATTTCCGACGAATTGCGACACGCGTACATCAATCCTCTCCCCTCCCCTCTCCTCCCTCGAGACCTTCACCCTTTTCGATCCCCCACCAGAGCTAGAACGAGGTGGGAAGAAGGAATCGAAATAGACGTTCGAAGTAAATATTTCTTAACGCGATGAGTGGCGGGAAGTGATGGTTAACTGGCCTTTTTCGATTCGATATTTTACTCTTTAGGTTGTGTACATGAAATATTTAATGTATTATGTCAGAATTGTCACAGATATGATTGTATCTTTTTTGTATGGAAATATAAAAGTGTTTCTGTCATTGTGATAATCGTGTAGTATATAAAATGTATGATATGTTCCATTTTGGAATAATTAATGGAAGGGAATTTTTTTATTTTGAAAATAATTCGGGAAGGATTGTATTTTATTTATTTCGAAAAATATGATTTTCAATGAAAATAAAAATCGTGGAAATTAGATTTATTTTTCGAAATTAATACGTTTTGCGTTTGGAGGTGGAGTGAATTTGTTTGCGGATAGAGGATGTATAGATAGCAGTAGTTTCTGAGCGAGTGACCCAGTTAACGTCACAGATATTTTGTAGCCTGGCTTCAAATTTGTTTTGGCCAGAATCGGTGTCAATATTATTAGTGCTTTGTAGAATTTTTTCGTGCAATTTGTAATATTATATCTGGTAAACGCAATTTATTTGGATTTTGATGAAATATATTTCAAATCGAATGGAAATGGAATTTTTAAAATTATATTTTTGTGCAAAATAAAATATTTGAAAAATTGAGGATAAATTTTTATTTTTAAATATTAAGCAGAGCTTTTTCAACGAAGGAAGAAAATCAGGCCCATTCTTCATTCCTCCATCCAATAATACGTTTATTTATTTTATTTTTAATCATTTGAGGTCATTGTCTGTCTGTGCATCTCTAAGCATCGCTTTATAACTATGTAACGCACTTGGCTAGTACTGACTTAATAATATAGAATATATTTTAGAATATCATGGAATATTTATAATAAGATACATAATTTATATCAATAAATGGAAAATTATAAATTTAAATAATTTAAAATTTAATCTTCAACCTGTTTTTTATTTTTAAAAATAAAGAATTATTGTCTAATTTAAAATCTCACAACAATGATATCATATTTGAAGAAAGAAAAAATTATAAATATTCCACGAGCGAATAACGCTTTTTTATTTCACCAATCTGCATTTTAAAGTAATAAATAATAAAATTGTAATAAGACTGTAATATATCTTTTATTTATTTTATTTTGTTTAATTTTTTTTTTTTTTGGGCCTGCTTCGGTTTGCTTTTTTTAAAGGATATGGTTATAATTTTGCGACAAAGGAAACTGACAATGAGTACGGTCTTCTGCACGAGATTGACAGTGCTTTGAAATTCGGCAAAGGATTTCTATTTGGTAAAGGTGCGTTTCATTACTTTGCTTAGTTAATCCCAGCATGCATTTTACTTATAAATCGATGGATAATTTATGGAAATATTGAAATAATTACAAGCATATAAATTAAATTTAATATAATTTAATTTTCAATATTTTAGACATGAAAATAATTTATTTAGAAATTATAAATTGAAAAAAAAGATTTTCTTTCTCGTGTTTTGAAATAGTTGGTTAATTAGATTGAGTAGGTTGTTATTTCATATTGCGTGTACAATTTAATTATTTTAACGCTTAATTATGCATCTCGGATGAAAGAAGCTTGATCTTTCATAAAAAAAATTTTTTCTCTTCTCGTTTTCTTTTTAATTCGATGATTTTTTAAAATTAAAAACGGCAATGAATTTTAAATCACAATTTCTAATTTTTTCTTAACAAATTCAATATTGCAAGAAAGGTTCATTTTTAACGTTAAAATAAAAAAATATACAACCATTTTATTAACACCGAGATACTTTGCTCCTCGCTCACTTGTTATTCATGAGGCTTTATTACTCCTGACGTAATGCAAATTTACATTAATTAGAAATAGTGGAAGTAGGAAGAGCAGAGCTCCCTTATTAGAAATTAGACTTTTTTTTTTATTTTTATTTAAATATAATTATACTTACATAATTTTTACATCAAGATTTAATTATCAAATATATTACTATATATTACTAAATATATTACTATAAAATTTAAAAAGTTCGTTAATAATTTAAAAATTCTTTTTAAATTATTATTATTATTATTAAAAAGATATCAAACAATCGAAGAATAAAAGAATAAAAATAGTATATTAAGTGATTGTTAATATATTTGTGAAACACATTTTTTTAAGATTGATTTAAATACAAAAGTTCCTATATTAATTGCAAATAAGATGATATCAACATCCTATACGTAAAACATACACATATATAAACACATATAAAACATAAAATATATATATATATATTTCACTAATCATCTTTCAATAATTTAATAAAAATTATTTGAAATAAATTAAATCTTCACGCACCATTGTGTAAATCGATCGAGTTTTTAAAACAATCGAAAATAAAAAATGTATACGCACCATAACCTAATCGGAACCATCTTACGAAATTCAAATTCACATGTACGCCGTTTGTAAATATTTGCAATCGAGCGACGTTCTTAAAACGATCGAAACATTACACGCCCCTTTCGAAACGTTTACATTTCGATCAGTTCGGTACGAACCACGAACCGGGGAAGACGCGTCACACGACTATTCTGAATCGGTGGCTTCTGCGTAGTTGAACGACGCGTAGAAATCGTTTCGATGGCGTCGTGGTGGGTATCGGGCGTCGCGACGCTTCTCAGTCCTCGGTCATCACTCGAGCTTCGTTTGTAATCCATCTCTCGTGCGTGTACAGATTTCGAACAGATGCTGGAAAAAAGTGAGTGCACGTTTTTAACTTTTGAAACGGACAATTTTGAATAGAGGTTATGTAAAGATGGAAATAATGGTAGGATTCGTGGTGTTGTTAGAGTCAAGGATTAAGATTCAACAGGTTGTCCTGCCAATTCACGAAAATCCGCTTAAAATCGCGTTCGAATGAGACAAGTATCGTTTTAGAATATTTTCTCGCATTATTGTTTCTCGCGTTTCGATTCGAAGTGTCTTTTTGTGGTTTCATTGCGAGTATTTGGAAAACATTTTTGATGAGATTTTTCAATTTGAGGGAAAGAGTGATTAATGTTTTTGATATTTTTTAAATATTTTTTTTTTTTAGAAAAAATTGATTTTTCCATGGAGGATTTTTCAAAAAAGAGAATTTTAAAATAAATAATTAGATTCAATCAAAATTATTTCAATAAATTAAACAAATTTTATAGGTTAAATTTAATATTAAATTTAATCATTTAAAATTAATTCATTTCATAATCGAAATTTGATCATGACTTTTCAATATCGTTATTACTGATTCAAAACATCGATTGAATTACCAATACGATCGTATTTGAATATAATATTGCGAACTCGATTCTCATTATTTAATCGAACAATAGTCCGTGAGATATTATCCATATATATTAAGATGCTTAATATATATGTATAAATAATCCTTATATACGTACAATTCGATTTATTTAATTCAAAAAATGCGATTCTTGTTAAACGAAATTATTCGTTTCTAACTCGTTTATAAATTCGACATGTTCAAGTGTGTGTTAGTGTGTGCTTTATAATCGACATAAATTATAAGAAAATAAAAAGAATCGTGTTTACTACTAACGATGAAAAACTCGCGATACTCGAGAGTGTTTTGAAAATATGTGGAAGTAAACGTGGAACAGCTTGTTACTCCTCGATTACATAAAGGTGTCACGTTACTGCTCGGCAGATTGCACGAAATTGCAATATACGTGCATTCGAGGTAGAAGTTGCCCGCTATTTTCGTTTGTCAGCCATTGAGTTCTTCCGCTTTTTCAATTCTTTCGCGCGAAATTCAATTTGCGTAGAGAAAGATTAATTTTTTTTTTATTAATCGATTTTATTTGTTTTCGTTTTATTTTTTGATTCTCTTTTTAAAATCGATTCTATATTCTATTCATTCGTGATATTTAAATCGTATAATCTATGATTTTTCTTTTTTTTTTTTTATCGAATCTATAGATTTGCTTGTTTAATTTCGATTTTTTTTTAGGATAGGTTTTATATTCTTCCCGCCTACGAAATTTGAATCGTGTAAAGAAAAATATATTGATTTAATTTTTGTTTTTTTTATTTTTTTTTAAATTTTATATTTTTTTCCTGAGAAATTTAATTCGTATAAGAGAAATTGGAGAAAAATCC